GCAACATCAAATTCCAAGCAGGGGATTTTGTATTTCTAAAACTACTTCCTTACCGACAACAAACAATTTTTAAACGCGCATCTCAAAAGTTAGCTAGCCGATTCTACGGACCTTATCTCGTTGAGCCCCGTATTGGCAAAGTGGCTCATCAACTCAAGCTACTAGAAGGGTCTCGTATCCATCCTGTTTTCCATGTCTCTTTACTTAAGAAAAATTAGGTGAGTCTTGTGCACCAAGTACCAATTTACCACCTCTTAATGATGAAGGGCAACTTGTCATGCCTCCAGAAGCTATCTTGGACATCATTGGATTAAACAAGATATAGATTTGTTGAAGAGAGTCTAGTTAAGTGGCATGGCCTTTCGGTAGATGACGCTACATGGGAAAACACTACCGAGTTGCGGGAAAGGTTCCAGAACTTGGACCTTGAGGACAAGGATCCAGTGAAAGAGGGGGGTATTGATAAACCACCACGTCGTTCCCACCGTCTTCCTAAACCAAACCCAAAGTACGTGGCGTAAGAGGCTGCATGATCCACCATGATCTGATGTGGCTCTGTGGGAGAACGTGGTTTAGTTCCAACGTTCATATGCTTAGGAATAGGACAAAGTTTGTTTGCATTTGTTGTTTGAGTCTTTTATTCGTGCAGTTAGTGGTCGTAAGTTTAGGAAGAGTTGTTGAACTTTGTTTATTTAAATTCCACCCAAGTGCAGTAAAAAGGTAGATAATTTTCATCCAAACAATTGTGGTTTATTTTTCACCCAAAGAGAATTAATTATCTTGCTATTATTAATCAGCCTTGATTGGGACCTTATCACAAAACGTATTTAAATTAACTAAAATTTCGTTATTTCTTAATTAAATTAAAATCATTCAACACAGTGAAAAGGAGAAATTGGTCCAATAGAACGGACCGCGTGGCATAGGAAGTATTGTGATGGTCATTAATGTCAGAAAAAGGCTTTTAGAATTTAGATAGGTATGTCTTTATAAGGAAGTGGCCCTTAATCAGAAGGTCCAGAATCTGTTAGATAAATGGATGGTTTGGGTTTTTGTCAAAAGCTGTGGGGACAGATTTGAGGTTTGGGTTTTGCTCAGTGCGGCTCTTGATGCTTCATTATCACAAACTGTTTGTCTAAGAATGTTCTGTTTTCCGAATTAAATCTTTAATTACGTTTATTCTTACCTTTTACTCACCATTTTTTTTTATGTTTCTTTATTTTACCACAATTTCCAACTCTTTAAATAAAAAAATTAAAAGAAGAAATAAGGAATAGAAATTAATGATGGCCTCTTTCTATGTTTATTAATAGTGGCCGACCTTATAGTTATAAATGAGTTGGCTTACAGTATGCGCATGATCTGTAGGACTTCATTGCACACCCTATCCCTATTTATATATGTATTTTGACTAAATAATTACCGCCCCTAAAGTTTTGAGAAATTATATTTTCACCCTTGAATTGTACATGACAAAAGGGTTAAATCATAGACATAAGACACTGAGGTTTTATGTAATAATAGGAACCCTTATTATTTTTAAAATAACAAAAAAATTTCTACTGTTAGTAAATCTTTAATGACCAATTAAAACATATATTATTATGTGTTTAAAAAATATTTGTCAAATTACCTTTCTACCATTTGTTTTAACAGTTAAAACTTAACTTAAGGGAATTATTATTTAAAAACAGATGATGATTAACTCAAATATAAACTAACATCTCTCGTCATGTGAAACTACCTTTTGCTTCACCTCGAGGAAGATTTTTTCAAAGGAGCCTATTGTTTTCTAAAAATATAAAGTAGGTTACCATCTTCCAAAACCAGGCAGAAAAGCCCATTTATTGTTCTCAATTAAAGGATTTTATAGAGGTAATTCCTCATTTTCTTGAAATCTAAAGGATGCAAATGTATTTTCCCAAAAGTTGAAGGCATGTCATAATGTTTACCCAATTATTTATTCATCTACTTGACTGGCTCATAGGTCAGGGGTTCACATGTAATTTCATAGATTAAGCTGAGATATGGAGATATGTGGGCTATATTCATCATTGGAAATGATTCAGTTGATAGCAGCTATATACAGAGGATTTGCTGTCAGTATGTGTACATGAGGCTATTTTCGTCATTTCAAGAAGTTAGACAATATCTTATCTATGGTTTCAGCAATTGGTTATCTACAAGGGCGGTGATTTTAGCATCTCTCTCGGGTCTGCTTTTTGTTTTTGCTTTTGTGTCATTTAGTATATGGGTTTCTTCGTGTGTAATGTGTTCACACCTTCTAAATTCAATGATTGACACGTAGCTGACGCTTGACACATGACCCCTAAATTGGAGATTAATGGTTGTCTTAAAGTAAAGCTTTAAATTTTAGAGATAAAGTTGCTAATTCAAATTTGATAGAGAATCAATTCTTTTGCCAATATCTAAATAAATAACAATTTTTTTTTTTTCCTTTTACGATTATACCGTCAATTTTCTGTGATTTCTTAATTAATTATCTAATATAAATAAATCAATTTTAAAAATATTATGCGATTTAATCTTATAAATTTTTTTTTTATGACCGGGACGTTCGGGTTAGCTTACGCGTACCTCAACTAATCTTTCAGGATCTTTAAACTACCGATTAGATAAAAGTTCCAATGATTATCCCAATGAACAACTGATGAGGAACTCAAACTTATAACTTCTTAAATAATATATCTAAAAGTCTTTATCAAATCACTCAATCACCCGAGATAGTTCTTATGCAAGTTTTTCGTTTGAAAAAATTATTGTATGGAGGCTGAGCATTGTTGGATAGAGCTTGGAATGATTTGTGGTTATGAATTAGTTGATTCTTATACTAATTTGAATTAGAAAATTAATGTTGTCATTAATGTTATTTAATATTAATCATCTAATTTTGGTAATGGTATAATTTTGATTTATGACATTAAAGTAAAAAAATAATAAAAAAAGGGAAAAAGGGAAAAATAGGTTAGTGACCCACGACCCTTCAACGGCCATGATTGAGACGCCCAAACGAACAAAAAGTGTTTGAACATTCCTTCTCTCTTTTATTTTTTATTTTTTTTTTGTAACAAAATGTTTGTAGTTTGTACATTATGATATGATACGACCCCATTAAAAAATGTGTTAATATGTACATGTTAAATGTGATAATTTTTGAGCCGCAAAACAAGAACCCCATTTTTATTTATATTAATCATGCACGTTTTCAAAATAAAAATTCTGTCAATTTTCATATTGTGAAAATTTATTAGCACGTTTCAAAAGAGATAAATATTTGATTAATTATCGTCAAGTATTATGTTTTATTTAATTGAATACGTCTTATGGATTACTCACTTTTAATCTTAAATATTTTGATAATTAATTTATTTTCACTCTTTATTTATTAATTTAGACAAAATATTTGCTAAAGTCACTTTTAGGCATCCCTTATTTGATGTCTTACACTTACTCAATCGTTTTCCAATTAGGATTGATTAATTATTTTAGTTTAATCCCTTTTCAGATAATTATCACTTTATTACCAAATAATAAGCACAATAAAGTCGATCTTAATAGTAATTAGTATTAATTTATTAGGTTGGTTGGATAATTTAAGGAGTGTAAGAAGCTTCATTATCAAATCTTGTGTCACACATTAGACTTAATAGTGTAAAGACACTGATTTAATTTTAACCACTACTAGGTAACCCAACGGTAGAAAAGCAAATAAAGATTTAACATAACCTCCCAAGTTTGAGTCGTATTGAGGGTAAAAGAACAAGAGGAGAATCTAACATGGTCTACCAAGTTTTAGTCTCTACGGTTGCTAATATGCAAGGGCGGATCTAACCTACTTTTGGGTGGGTCATGGTCCATCCTCAATTTTATTTTAAAAAATACTAATATATATAATTTCTAGATTTTAGCCCACTTTAACAAAAATATTAATGTGTAATTAGTTTTTATTTTAGTCTACCCTAACAAAAATTTATGGATCCACTACTGCTAATAGAGGTGACCATTAGAGCTCTTATCCGATCAATAATTTTAGGATCCCGACGAATTAGTTGAGGTGTACTGGTCAAGGCACTCTCGGTCATTAAAAAAAAATTTTAATTTTTATAGAAATTGACAATAAAAAAAATCTAAAAAAAAGCCTCCACGTCTAGATACCTTGTTATTGGTATGCCTATTTTGTATTTTGAATTCGTTGTAAATTTAGGACTTGTTTGATATAAAATTTAAATATTCCTTTTTTTTTTTTTTTATGAAAACAAGGAGTACAAAAAATCTTATAAAAACGTGTCTGGTAAAAATGAGTCGAAATATTTTTGAAATAGTTTTGAGATAGAATAAAAAAAACTAATGTAAATTCATAAAATGATTAAAAGTTGTTTTAACCGTTTTCTATAGCTTTTAATCTAAAAATAATTTTTGAATATTATACTAAACACATTTTTAAATATTGAAAATACTAAAATACAAAACTCAAAAACTTGAATCCTATTATAATTTGAAAATTATTTTTGGATCACAGAATTTTGATACGATTTTGTGTATGAAAATGAAAGATCCACCTTAATAGGAATCCATTTAATTTGAATTTATTTTTTACTTGTTGAAGCAATTGTACATAAATTTTGATTTTAAATATTGCGTATTGGGATGGAATTGTAGACAAAAGGTCAAAAAAATTTGATGGCATTAAGATGTACCAAAGTTAAAAAGAATTAATTTTGACCTACTTCTTTTATCACTCATATCATACCATAGAATTGTACGAGTGAATACACGCAAGGCCTTCCCCACGCCACGCGAAAATCATATTATTACATGATGGATGGTGATGATGTTATGACAAACGGATATACATACATGCTGGAAGACATACATGACATGACGTGATGTACATAAGATGACATGGAAATAGAAGTAAAGTAACTTAAACAACATAAGTGAATAGAGAGAAGGAATAGCATTTGACTTCGTTTGAGAGGAGAGAGAGAGAGAGAGAAGAAGAGAAAAAAAGGTTAAGAAAAGAAAGAATGAAGAAAATTCAATCAGATCGAATACAATTTTGACGTCCGCAAGGACAGACACATAACACATTCCATTCCCCCTTCTCTCTTTCTCGCTCCGTTTCTCTTTCTCACTCTACCGCTTTCTCTCCCTAGATTACATACCAGCGAAGAACAGGGCACACTTGAAAGTACAAAATACGAACACCCACCCAGAACGCATAAAGATAGTCTTCTTTTCTTTTTTTTCCGTTTTGATTCAGGGAAGCTAAGTGAGATAACAACTTTTGTTTCAGTGATTGGGTTTTGAAGAAGAAGAATAAGGAGGAGTTGGAAGTAAAAGGGGAGCTAATTGTTGTGATTTTAGTTGTTGTTGTGTTATGTTGTTTTGGAGATTCTCGAAGACTATTATATATTTGTTACTGTTCATTTTCAACTTTTGGTAAGTTCGTTTATTTAAAGTTTTTGTTTTGACCCTTTTGGTGTTTTTCTCATTTGGTTGAATACCCATTATTTTTAATCACTCGTTTGTGCGTCTGGATCGTTGATTTATCCACTTTAGGACTCGATCGAGCTGTTTTACTTGTTGTTTTAGCTGTTTGGTGGTTGTTTTGAGAAGTAATTGTGTTTTGGGTGGTTAAAGTTTGTGTTTGTTGGGTTTTGGAATTGTGTTTTGGGGTTCTTGGGGTTGAAAATTTGAGCTTGTGGTGGTAAGTTTGAGGGGTTGTTTTGTGGGGTTTGTTTAATTTTGATAAATCTTTTGCGGGTCGTGAGTTTTTTTTATTTGGGTTTTGTTTTACATTTGATTGAAGTTGATTTGTTTTTATGAACCGAGAGTTCTTGTTGATAGTGTGGTTATGTTGGGATTCAGAAGCTGTACTTTGTACTGAAAGTTAAGATGTTTTTTGTTAATCGTCTGTTTGCTTGGAATGTTTTTGGTTATGGTGGATCTAAGAGTTCTTGTATCACGCAGAGTTCATGCCAAAGCTTTTCAAGTATTGCTCGCCTAGCGGAGATAGTACAACTCTAGAATGTTCAGAATCAAAGCTTGTTCCTCGGTTTTGGTTCTTTTTAGTTTGTGGCTTGTCTATGGTAAAACTCAACACCATATGCTCAGGCACAAAACATACCCTTTTCTGTGGGTGCACAACGAGGACTTGGAAGCCTATAATCTTGGATGCTTGGATGAAATGCTAATTGAGTTGAGCTCTTTGACCAGTTTTTCGCGTTTGGTTGTGTAATTTTAATTTTTGTTTGAATTCATGTCATTTTAGATATAGTTGTAGTTTTCGCTGAGTGTTTGTAGATTATTGTTATTCTCAAAAGATGGTTCCGCCAGGCCAGGCTCCAATTGGTGGTGCCCAGTCTGTTTCGCCTTCTCTTTTGCGTTCAAACTCGGGAATGTTGGGAGGTCAGGGTGGTCCTTTGCCTTCCCAGGCAGCGTTCCCATCCCTTATTTCGCCACGGACACAGTACAATAACATGAATATGCTTGGAAATGTTCCCAATGTAACTTCACTACTAAATCAGTCTTTTGGAAATGGTGGTCCAAATCCAGGGCTTTCTGGCCCTGGGAATAATCAGCGTGGAGGTATGGATAGTGGGGCTGAGTCAGATCCACTTTCAGGTGTTGGTAACGGAATGGGTTTTAATGCTCCTTCATCGTCGTTTGTATCATCGAACTTGGTGAGTCCTGGTTCATCTGGTCAAGTTCAGGGTCAGCAGTTCTCAAACCCTTCTGGTAATCAGTTGCCTGATCAACAGCAGTCGCAGCAGCTTGAACCTCAAAATTTTCAGCATGGCCAGCAACCAATGCAACAATTTTCTGCTGCTCACAACACCCAACAGGTACAGCAGCAACAACAATATCAATCGATTCGAGGATTAGCTGTTGGGCCGGTGAAGTTGGAGCCACAGGTGGGTAATGATCAACATGGACAGCAGCAGCAGCAGCAACAGTTGCAACCGTTGAGAAACCTTGGTCCAGTGAAATTGGAACCACAACAAATTCCAACAATGAGAAATCTGGCACCGGTAAAAATGGAACCACAACATTCAGATCAGTCATTGTTTTTGCATCATCATCATCAACAACAGCAGCAGCAGCAACAACAACAGCAACAGCAACAGCAGTTCCTTCACATGTCGAGGCAGTCCTCTCAGCAGGCTGTTGCCCAAATGAACCTTTTACAGCAACAAAGATACTTGCAACTACAACAACATCACCAGCAACAGCAACTCTTAAAGGCAATGCCTCAACAACGTCCCCAATTGCCACAGCCATTTCAACAGCAGAATTTGCCTATGAGATCTCCTGTGAAACCTGTATATGAACCTGGGATGTGTGCCCGGCGTCTGACACATTACATGTATCAGCAACAACATAGACCTGAAGTAAGATCTTATAAACATGATGAGTATATTTTTAGCTTATTGTGCATGGCTGTAATGGTTGCTAATTTGTCCCATTATTATGCAGGACAACAACATTGACTTTTGGAGAAAATTTGTTGCTGAGTACTTTGCTCCTAATGCTAAGAAAAAGTGGTGTGTGTCTATGTATGGAAGTGGCCGGCAAACGACTGGAGTTTTTCCTCAGGTCTGCTGCTTAAGAAATCTAGGGGATTGACTATTGCTGTTTAAGATGAATAGATGCTGTTGATCTCAGCTTAGCTGGTGTCTTTAGTATAAATGATTGAATGAGTTAATTGTTTGTATGAGTTACATGGTTGCTCCTTCTATTATCTTCTTAATGTTGTATCTGAACTTCTTCATTCTTTTTTAGTGCTTTTATTTTAATTGTCTCTAGCACATGGATCAGAATTATCTTATTTCCCCTTTTGTACTTGCTTAACAATGCCAACTGCTGGTGTATACTGTAATGATAATGGTACTCGCCAATTTTGCAGGACGTATGGCATTGTGAGATATGTAATCGCAAGCCAGGCCGTGGTTTTGGTATGCCTTTTGCCATTGTATTTTCAAAATTTTCTTTTTCCCTGCATGTTTTTGACGTTCTGGGCTTGGGAGCGTGACTTGCTCTAGTTTCTTATGTTTTCCTTATATATGTTTTGTATTTAACAGAAGCAACTGTTGAGGTTCTTCCGAGGCTTTTTAAAATCAAGTATGAAAGTGGTACTTTGGAAGAGCTTCTATATGTTGATATGCCCCGAGAATATCAGAATTCATCTGGTCAAATTGTTCTGGACTATGCAAAAGCAATACAGGAAAGTGTTTTTGAGCAACTTCGTGTTGTTCGTGATGGTCAACTTCGGATAGTTTTTTCTCCAGATCTGAAGGTACAGGATCAACTAATGACTTTTTTTTTTATGATTCTTTGTGAGTCTTTCTAACTGATATTACATTCTTCCATTTCTTATCCTAACGTTCCTTCTGCTAGATATGTTCTTGGGAGTTTTGTGCTCGGCGTCATGAAGAGCTTATCCCGCGAAGATTACTGATACCACAGGTTATTGATCAAGCTATTTCATTTTTCAAAATTTCACTTTTATCGATAAGAAGCTTTTTAATGTTTCTTTTGATTGTTGAGTGAAATATTGTTTAATTGGAGCCTCTATCATAAATTATATGTAGTTGGCTAATATGCTGGTTTGAAGTACTGATAATTTTTTCAAACTTTATAACAATCAAACGTTTTTTTTCCGTATGAAGCTTGGGAGGCATGTTCCTCTATGAATATATTATTTGGGGCAAGTTTGTTGAAACAGTTTCACATTATTATATTTAAGTCTATGCATACATTGTACTAGACTCACTTCAGCAGTTTCCATATGTTTGGCACTTTCGTCATGGCTACTTTATTACATTTACTTGGGAACAATGACAGTTTTTGGTGGTATTGATACAATGATTTACGGTGCATCTTATATATATATATGTGTGTGTGTGTGTGTGTGTATTCCTAGTTTACATTGGATGGTTAGTGAAATGAATTTAATCTCTATTTCTTTGCTTTTGGAATCACTTAATCAGGAATTATGTGTGAAGTAAGTTTTAGGATTTAAGAAATAGAATGTGTAATATCATTCATTTTCCATTTGGTCATATTATTGAAGCACCAACCCTTGCTATAACTCCAGTTCTGTAATGCCTACCTGTGTGGATTGTGTAAATGGATTGCGGTCTTTCAAAGAAAAAGGGCGTGGATGCACTACCGGTCCAATGATTAAGGGTTCAACCACTTCTTTTAAGGCTGCTAAAGAAAGTTTTTTAATGAGCTGCAAAGCAAAATGCTCCATTAATGATTTCTTTTTTGGATAATTTTTAAACTGTTTTTCCTTTTATATTGGGTTGCTTTGTCATTTCACTTATTCAGTTTTTCTTTTGTTTCTTGGATCATGCTTAATACTGGCAGGAATTGCGAATGATTATTCGAGTTCTATTGATTTTTGTATTGGATTCTGTGGATAGCATTGATATACATCTTGCCTGAGTCTGGACCCTTATTGCTTTAACAATTCAGTTGCATTTGCAATTTTGCATCCAAAGCATCCCCAATTTCTATTCACTACAATTTTAATTAAATTAGATGGTTAAAGGTTTTTACTGGATGTTCTGATGCACACGGGAATTTTATGTCATTGTCTGTTGTGCAGGTTAGTCAGCTCGGGTCTGCAGCTCAAAAATACCAGGCTGCCACTCAAAATGCATCATCTAGTTTATCTGTCCCAGAATTACAAAATAATTGTAATATGTAAGTCTATTGGTGCTTTGTTTACTTGTTTCTATAATTTATTCAAAACTCTGTGCTGTTTCTTCTGTGTTTAAGTTGAAAGTTGGAAGTTTGATCACACATGAAATTGTAATCGTCCATTTGGAAAATCTTTTTATTTTGGCACTTGTACTAGACATGTATGGCACACAATTGAAATTGAACAATCAAATTATGTTTTTGCTAACTTAATGTAATCGGTAAATTTAAACCTTGTTTTATTTGGACTTCTCTGAGCATGCTGGAAGCATTGGATAATAATTGTCATTTCTCTTCATTTATGCTATACATTTTTATATATAGACACTGAGCCGGAGAACTAGTCAGATTTAAGAGGAATTAAATATTTGGGAATGGTTCATGTTCTTAATGCACATAGAGATGATGTGACACGCTAGGAATATGGGTGGCATTCAGTGCAAGACAGCCGCAACCATGGTTTCTATCTATTGTATGTAGGAAGAGAAATTTCTCATGAACGAAATTAGGATATATTTAAGGGCTGTTGCTCATAAGTAATGGTTGATTAAAATTTTGTTTTTCTATAATGTCTGATCTGTAATAGTTTCTTATGATTATAACGAGTTTTTCTGCTTAGGTTTGTTGCATCGGCACGGCAATTGGCGAAAGCTTTAGAAGTGCCATTGGTTAATGATTTAGGATATACAAAGAGATATGTTCGATGTCTTCAGGTGATGTCCTTCATCTTTTATGGTTGATATGGCATAGTGATACCTATATTGGTCTGTATTTATTAATTTGGGTATTTTCCTCATTTTACAATACCCAGTTGTTGAGTAACAGGAGATGTATAATTTCAGTTAATTCAGTGAATTTGGGCTGGATATATGCTTTTCTGCTGCTTAGGGTGAAAATTACTCAAAATGTTTGCTTGATACTTTTTGCATATTAGTGATAAATATTTATGATATAATCAAGATAATAAATTATAAACCTTTGTTCTATTGATGAAAAAGGAAAATGTTTTTACCGTTATTAACTTTTCATGTTCGATTGTATCAATTCATTACTTAATTAACTCAGTTTCACCGCCATCATTGGTTTTTCCTAACTTTTATCTTTTATAAGATGTGGTAGAATTGATTGGGCAGAAGAGTTGTTGTAAAATTACTTCATTTGAAGAACTATATTACGAAAGTCTGTTTGCTGCCTTATTGATTGTTTTGTCACTTGATGGGCATGTTACAGATATCAGAAGTGGTTAATAGTATGAAAGACTTGATTGACTACAGTCGAGAGACAGGGACTGGACCTATGGGTAAGAATTGAAAAAACTACGTCATCATTATTGTTTTTTTTCCCTTTTTTATCTGTTTACGTTTTTTGCTGGATGTGTAGTGGTGAGAAGGTAGTTAGAGAATCTTTAAAGCCTCTTCATTCACCTACCCTTGATTCATATAATAGTAATTGTGATGTGTTGGATGTTGCTTCACTACTTATAGTGCTAATAAGAAGCTATAGAAAGGGGTGCTTTCTCCATCTAGTTGCATGGAAATTTTTTCTACCCCATCATGGTTTTTTTACGAGTAATATAAAGAAATAAATAATTCTGTGACTTCAATACTGGATAAGTTTTAGTTTTACATTTATTTGGTCTCAAGACAATTTCAGGATATATCAAGCATCATGTGGTTTGATTCTTTGCAGAGAGCTTGGCTAAGTTCCCCCGACGAACAAGTGCTTCTTCTGGGTTTCACAGTCAAACACAACAGCCTGAGGATCAGTTACAGCAACAGCAATCAGTGGCCCCTAACTCAAATGGCGATCAGAGCTCTGTCCAGGCCAGTGCAATGCAAGTTGCTGGTAGCAATGGTGTGGCTAGTGTAAATAACTCACTCAACCCTGCATCTGCATCCACCTCGGCCAGCACTATTGTTGGACTTCTTCACCAAAATTCTATGAACTCTCGACAGCAAAGTACTATGAATAATGCAAGCAGTCCTTATGGTGGAAGTTCAGTACAGATTCCATCGCCTGGATCTTCTAATACTATTGCCCAGGCACAAAACCCTTCTCCATTCCAATCACCAACACCTTCCTCATCTAACAATCCCCCGCAAACATCTCACAATGCCTTAACCGCTGCCAATCACATGAGTTCTGCAAGTTCACCAGCCAATATCTCAGTGCAACAGCCAGCTCTTTCTACTGAGACTGACCCGAGTGACTCCCAAAGTGCTGTCCATAAAATCATACACGAAATGATAATGTGCAGCCAACTTAATGGTGGTGGTGGCATGGTTGGTGTTGGTTCAATGGGAAATGACGTTAAAAATGTTAATGGGATTTTACCAACAGGTAACAATACAGTTCTCAACACTGGTAATGGCTTGGTGGGAAATGGGACAATCAACAATAATTCAGGTATTGGGAGTGCCGGATTTGGCAACATGGGTGGCGGACTTGGGCAGTCTGCAATGGTTAATGGAATCAGAAATGCAATGGGTAATAACTCCATGATGAACGGGAGGGTAGGCATGACAACAATGCCTCCGCGAGATCAAAGCATGAATCATCAACAGCAGGATTTGGGGAACCAGCTACTTAGTGGTCTTGGAGCTGTTAATGGTTTTAATAATCTCCAATTTGATTGGAAACCGTCACCATAAAAGGATCTACTGGAAAAATGATGCTTTGGGGTTGTTGATTATGGCTGCTTATGCAGCAGCAGCCGGCATGAGAAAGAGAATCAGAATCGGCAAATTTGCTTGGCAGGTGGCCCTTTGCAGATCACAACGAACGGTACATGACATAATAGTTAAGGGCATCCATTCTCTCCCACTTTGTACTAATTCGAAAAAGTAAAACATACAGCATAGTGTTTTATCAATGAAATGTTAAGTCATCCTGAGTTGCTTCAATTCTTCTAATTGTTTTTCCTGATTTATGGTTCAATAGTCACATAATTCCACTAACAATCTTTGGGATGGGAATTCAAGAAACAGGGTCAACTGTGTTTCTGGTAGTGGTGGAGCTTGTGCTTTTCTTCTTCAATTATTCCCTCTCAGTCTTTTGTAAACTAGGGAGTGTATTTTCTGGCTTTGTCTGGGAGCTCTATCAGTATACTATTACTTTCCTCGTCTCTTTCTTTTAGTGCTAATATTTTTAAGATTTCTTCCCCTTCTCTCTGTATCAGTATCACTACTCTTTTTCAATCACATAATCAAATATTCATTCAATTGCTTCATAAATTTCTTTAAAACTGTTATCCATCATATCTATGCTTAATGGAACTGTAGCCTTAAAGAGGGTTATGTTTGTCCCTTACAATGAATGATTCTTTCATAATGTTTTGGTCTTTAGCACCTTGTTAACATCTAACTTTAAGTCAAACTGAGAAGGTAGACATGACTACCACCTATTCACTATGTTTTCAATATAATAATAAAATTGTAAATGAGAGAAACCCTAGAATTTCTCGGTTTGCTGTTTACTTGAATAAAAAACAAAAACCCCCTTCAACATTACAATTACATATCACAAAAAGACTAGTTAATTTATTTCAATTCTCCGTTCTTTTATACATTATGCAGTAGCAACTACGACATAGCATATAAATCAACCTCTTCACCATTTAACTAACCCGTGAACCCTTCATCTATTTGACTTTGAGAAACTAGGAATCAATACTTAATTTAGGGAATAATGCCAAAACGTTTACAATTCAAGTCCAATTTTTTTAATCGTACCCATCTCGCTTGAGCTGCATAGACATTGGGTTTGGCTTGCTAAAATGGCAAATGAAGATGTGAATTTGATCCCACTAAATACACAGAAATTATCATCAAGAAAATGAACTCATAACAGTATTTACATATTCAAGAGAAGAAACTCCTGCACTTGGGAATGAATGATAACTTACATTAATGTTATTCATACAACCTTATAAAAGGGTTTTCATAATTTTCAATTCTCTAGATATTTTTCTATAGTTGCAGACAAAGTGGTCTTGGGCACAGCTCCAATAACACTCTCTTTCTTCTCTCCATTTTTGAAGAAGAGCACAGTGGGAATGCTCCTAATGCCATATTGAGTTGCAATATTTGGACAGTCATCAGTGTTGAGCTTGAAACAAGAAATCTTTCCTGCATATTCTTTGGCTAATTCATCGATAACTGGCGCTATCATTCTGCATGGTCCGCACCAAGGCGCCCAAAACTCCACAAGAACTGGATTAGCACTTGCTATTACCTGGTTTTCCCAGCTTGAATCTGTCACCACTTGAACTGCATGCAAACACACCAACACCAACAAATATATGTAAAGATGTTCATTTTTTTTTTCTTTTTTAAAAAAAATGAATGATGTTATGGGAAAAATAATATTTACCTTCATCCACAGCTTCACGAGCTTTGCAAACAATCAAGGGTTTTCTGGTTGTGGTTCTGAGGGAATGAGTGGGAGATGAGGGTGGTGAAGTGAATGATAAATTGGATTTATTAAATCCTTTACTGGTTGGAATATGAAGCTTTTCTATGGATGAAAATGGTTGGCAACATTGCACCACACCAGCTCTAGTAGTAGTATACATTGTGTTAACTTGAAAACACTTCTCCAAAGCCATTCTTGTCTTTCTTTCTTTTGTAGAGACTAAAATACTTGTGAATTTCTGTTCACAATTGATATTGAAGTTTCGATAGGGTGTGAATACTAGTTAGTAGAAGAAGATGTGGCCTTGGTGTTTTAGGTTTTTTCTCTTTCTTTCAAATTCGTGTTGTTTGGATTTTCTGATTTTGACGAGTGGATATGGTCTCAAAATCTGTGAGGTTGTGAAAGTGCACAAATTCATGTGGTTCATAATGTACTAGTGAACTTTCTTATGGAGAAAAATCTAAAGGAACAAATATAGTCTTGGATGCAAGATTTTTCTTCGCCATAACCTTCTGATCCATTATGCGCTTGTGATCCAATGTATTTAAAGCAGGCCTTTCCTATGTATTGCTCGGCTTTAACCCATGACTTTTCTAATCAATTTTATAAATACTCATTAAATAAAGTTGATTGAAAATACAGGAATAACTCCACATTTCTACAAATTCCCAGCCCTTGTGAACTAAAGTTAAGTACAAATTCTTTTTATATCATAGTGTTTATAATTTTTGCCAGTCTAAAATTCTACATGCGAGTTTGCTGACATCCCAAATAAAACCACCTCAAAAAAGTGTAGAGAAAACTCTATGCAGACATTGCTCACCCCTACAATGCCAAAATGAGTCCATATCAAAATGAATAGTCCTTCAAATCTGATTTTGAGTCATCCATTTCCATGTCAGCCAAGCACTCTTCTGCAGTGAGGGGAGGGAGTTGCCGGGTCTTGCGTTTAAGGTTGTGCTTGTGCCATTCACTCTTAAAGTGATCCCTATACTGCTTGGCATCGCCCACATAAGCATTGCATGTGCTACACTTGTTTTGCTTTACATCCCCTAGAGTTTGTTTCTCAATCCTCTCGCTCAGTTGTTGCACAGCATCAGCAGGTGCCTTGGGTTGGTGTGGTGGAACATCCTCGTGATCATCGTAATGATCCACACTTGTATCCCCTTCTGCATGCACAGACACTGCGAGGATTTCCAACCTGCCCTGCAGACTCCTCAGTAGAGCATCACAATCTCGATAGAGACCAGGTTCCAGTTCACACGTCTGCACAGCAATGAAATTTAAAAGATTTAACTCCACAAAAATAAAAGATTAACCATCATGTGTGTATTTGGCCACACAAAGCTTATCAAAGGGGCATCAAACACATAATATCTTAGAAAATTGGACAAAAAATAAAGTGAAAGTCAATACACAATAGAGAGTTTCAACAAAAATAGGGTGATCAATTATTACTGCATCAAGTAACCAAAAGATCAACTTTCCTAATTTGGAAAAAAAAAATTGAAAATTCAAAAAATTAAATTAAAAATAATAGTGCTCAATAATTACACAAGACTTTTTATGGTTCTAAAGGCAGAAAAATAATACTAACTAGACAACTGCTAACCAATCATCCAGCCAGCTAATATGCCTTAGTCCTTCTGAACAAAGGCTGAGTATAGCAGCAACTAGAGTTATAGTAGAGCATGTCAACACAGATCTCTACTTTCATGTCTCAACACCAGGCATCCTCAATGTTTATTTATGACTATGTCCTTTTGAGATGATAGAGAACAATAAGGGTGAACTATATGTAACATGTACTTAGAAGTTTCAGCACTTGTCACGCGCAAAATTATCTGATTTTCCAATTTAAGCTTCAAAATTTATGACAATTGGACTTCTATGATAATGCATATATTTAGCAGCATCCTCTTATTCTTTCTCAAAATAGTTTGTGAGCGTCAACTAAACTGTAATATGAAGTAGATGTAGCACAAGAGCAGAGTAGTTCCAGAAATTTGTTCTCTAATCATATCAAAACTTCTACCTTCATGTAAAGTAGTGTTTATTCCAGAAGATGGATTTAAACCACCCTGTTCTTCATCTATTCTTTACATGTATAGATAATTTATTCAACTACCATGTGCATAAACTGTATTTCAAAATTTCAACAAGCACCTTGCTTCAAGCAAATTACGATAAGACTTCATGTGAAGGTGACAATGGTTAAATCTAGGGGTGGGCGGGTCTGGGTACCTACCCAAAATCAAAGGAACTGGAACCGGAACCGACCGGTTCCTTTGATTTGGAACCAGAACCGGAACTGTTCCGGTTCCTAAAAACTTGGAACCGGAACCTGTAACCGGGTACCCTGAAAAATATCATTTACCCTCCTTTAAAAAAAAAGACAAATAAACCCTTATAAAATTACATTTACACCCCTAACAATTAAGTTAAAAACATTAAATAATATATTTGCTTATATTTAATTGATGTTTGATGTTTGATGCTTCATTATAGGTATTTAATTGTTTGTTTTCACAGATAATAAATATTTAAAAGCTATTATTCAACGTAAATACCTTAATATATATTAATTTCTTAATTAAGTAATAAGTGAAACTTAAATATTACTAAAAATATTTTTTAAAAACTGATCTTTTAATGAAAATTAATAAGACTTTTGATACTAAGATAAAAGAACCAAAATTTTCCTATATATTTATATAATATGTAAAATATCAAAAAGCCTCCCATCTGCAAAATGTTGAAAAAAACCCCTATTCTTTAATATTATATCATTTTGGTCCCGGTTCTGGTTCCTTTGATTTGGAACTGGAACCGGAACCACACAGTATCGGTTCAATTTTTTTTGAAACCGGAACCTACCCTATTACGGCCGGTTCCAGGTAGGAACCGGAACCGACACCTGGGTACCCGTCAGTTCCGGTTCTACCCTAAAATTTTGCCCACCCCCAGTTAAATCAAAACTGTCATTGTTAGCAACACAATGTACTTCATAAATATGGAAAAACACTTACAATAGACAGCTGACTTCCAGATTCATCTTTCGAGACAATGCTAGCATTCCATGCATTCAGTTTCTCCATAAGCGAAGAAGAATTTTGTCCTGGAAGCGTGAGTCGTACTCTCATTGGAGATCGTTTTATTGGAAAATGTTTCTGAAGCTCACGGATGACTTCTAATGCCTGCATAAGACATACTATCAACCAGAGAACTAAAAGCGTGAAGTATATCTTCCACATCAATTCCACAAACAGTAATTTTACATTTGTCAAAAATCATTACAGTTGCATATAAACCAGCCATTCTTAAGCTATTTAAGTTTGGCTTGTCTAGTGGCTTATCTCAACTCGTTCATTTGTACCACAACCACAACCCCAAGCTCAAGCTTTCTTAATAAGAATTCATTAGCCCGACCTATATACAACAGTTGAATGCCATCAATGCTAATTGCTAAGTTATATGCTTATTTCTTTTGGGTAATACATAATTAACAGTCAACTAAAGGCATTCAGTCTGTTACACTAGACTGTTGGCATTGGCAAAAGAAGCTATAAACTGCATAAGTTAATTTATAGGAGTGAGGACACATTAACAAAACCATTGACGCATTTTCTTTTATCACCTATAAATCCCCAATCTTTCTTATGAGTTCACTGAAATTTAAATCTAGGAATAGGATTATCACTGAATTCTACAATCTTGGTACTTAGGAAACTCGTGGGCAGGTGGACTCAGAAAAATTCGAACCATTTATCACATGGTTTAAACCAAAGGCTTTAACCACTCAGCCAAAACCTTAGGGAAAACGATGGTCCACTATAATCTAGAAGCTGCAATATAATTCAAAATCACAGAAGAAAAAAAAAAAAAAAAGGGACTATCTACAACTACAATAGAACATGAAATTTTCACTAATTTTCAAAAGGTTACATCAAATTTTAGATAGACGTATAGCCAAACGAACCATTTCACCTGCTTCTTCGAACTGCTATTAGGATCAACAGCAAAATGAATTTCATGCATAAGCCGCTCAATCATACTGATAGTGTAAGGGCGATTAGTTTCAGAATTAATGGTCTTCTGCATAACAATTGTTGCAATATCCCGAAACTGATTCGATAACTGAGATTCCCTCTCCTTCCCAGCGACTTGAAGCTCCCCTTTATCCAAAATCTACAATCACAAAGCATAATTTCACTCACAGTCCAATAAAACGAACTAAAAATATTAATGAAGTAATTTTCAATTCACCGACCTCCAAACAGATTTTACTCTGATCATCAGTACCGAAGGCCGCAATCAAATCTTTGGACTTGGCAAGAATTCCTTTTGAGACATTTGAATAAACAGTCTGTGACTGCAACACTTCATCCAAATCTTTCTCCCTGTTTTAATACGAAATCTCGTAAAACATTTATGTTGATTTAACAAGAAACAATTAATTAAAGAAAGAAAGAAAGAGAGAGAGAGAGAGAGAGTTGAGAGAAATTACACGCCGGAACGCCAAGAGAGGACCTTGTTCTTGTAGCAAGCGATTTCGAAGCGAATCCCGTGCTTCTTCAGACGAACTACCGCCACGTTCGTCAGTCTCTTTTGCCCTATCGGCTGTACTATCTTCGACATTTTTCTTTAACCTTCTATTCGGAGAAGCGAAGAGAAGACTAAGGAATAAAATTGTTTTATATTTTATTTTAAAATGACCACCCTTACCCATCCTGTTTTATTAAATAACCAATATAACCATTTTCTGTTCTGAAAGACTATAATACCCCCAATCTTATTTGTAAAGGACGACTCAATCATAGCTCTCTATAGTCTATAACACCTAAGCATAATTCAATTTCAAACATTATTTTTTATTATAATTTTTCTTAATTTGATACCCCTTTATTAGTCTTATGTAACAATCTAAGTTTGAAATGTTTTTTCTTCATGTTTTGTTTATAAAACCACGTAAACTTCACAATCAAAATATAAAAATTAAGTTACTTTATGAATCGTGTGGACTCTACTTGTCAATCGTAATAATTTAATATGACTCTTTTATTAATATTATAATAAAATAAAATTTTAACCTTATACATTATTTATCTACATTATAAATCTTATATATTTATTTTCTTGTTACCCTAATGGTATTTATAATAAAATGAATGAAAAAACGATACAATATCAAGACCTTTAACCCTTTAGTAGAATAACTATAATGACATGTTTTATTCTTTGTGGTGCGGTAAACTCTAGAACCAGAACCAGGGGGTATTTTGATCTTTTTAATTGAATGGTTATTTTATTAGACTTATGAAACTGTATTTTTATGGTTATTTATTTAAAAAAAGTATAAAAATACATGAACAAACGCAACGCTTTACTCTTTCAACTCTGGTGTTTGTCATAACTCATGGGTCATGGGCTCCTTACCTCTCTTTGTAAATGGGCCAATCTTGGCCTGTACCTCTCTTTGTAAGGGTTTTCTGAATTCGGATTCTCCAACTCCTGAGGCTCCTCTGTTTTCTCGTTGCTCAGTCCCGATCAGAAACAAAATTCCTGAAAAAAAATAAAGAAAAAGAGAAAAAAATGCTGTCTCCAAAGCAAAAGAGTGAAGCTGAAGGTGAAGCTTCAGAGCAAGATAGTTCAAACGACGGCCGTGCCGGTTTCTTCAATATATATGGACCTCAAGTACTCTCTCTTGCTCTCTTATTTTCATCATCATTTTAATTAAAACTTAAATAAACAAAACTGAATTGATACGATCACATGATATCATTGGCAGGCGAAATCAGAAGTTGTTTTCAAGATGCCTGAAGCTAATTCTACCCTGAACTTGCAAGTAAGTGCGTTTGTATTTCGTTAATTTGATAAATTAATCAAGTAATAATTTACTGCTAATGCATTTTATTATGTTTGGTTTATTTATTTACTTTTTATTCTCAGGACGTTCAAGGCCTTGTAACTTGGGTTCTTGCTGAAGGATTCATGCCCTCCTGGGTATTCATTAAGGTGAAAATGATAAAAAGAAGGAAAAAAAAATTCTCTTATTATTTTTCTTTTAATGTGTTGTATATGTGCATAAGTAATCCATATTAGTTTAATGTAGAAGTAACCCACATTAGTTTTAATAGTGCGTTGTTTATTTGTTTTGCAGAACAAACCGTTGATTCCAAAAGTAGTCATGCTTTACCTGCCGGGCCTGGATGCTTCTTTGTACTTATCACAGTCCAAACTACTTACTGGTTTTAAAGAATTCTGTGGCAATCCGAGGGCACTTTTAGCCCTTAGGTTAGTTAATGGTTTCTTTTCCTCAGTTTATCCATCGTGGGGCAGGATTCTTATGCCTTTTTTTTTTCTTTTTTCTTTTTTGGTTGGTTTTCTGTTTAGTTGTGTAGCAGATAGTATGCAGACAATAGACTCACTGCTAACATGCAAGTTGAAAAGAAAGAGAAATGAGCTTGATTCAATGAAGAAATCTACCCAGACATCAGAACAAGGTTTTATTGATTGTCTGTTTTAAAAACTTAATTCATTATGATGAACATTCTAATTATTAACTAGTCTGATAATTATATCCAAAAGATTTGCCTCCTTGTTTAGATTAGCCTGCACATCTTTCAGTGATTTTGGTAATTTTCATGATGCAAAAGGAGGGTCTACAAGTTGTTGCTTACTCATTGGAAGTGCCATAGTTTCTGTCCTTTGATATTCCTGTATGGCTAGAATCCTCTTGTTGGTAATGGATCTGGACATCTGGTAGCCCTTTTCTCTTTGGACTGAAATCTCAGCACATTGACTGCGTGAGTTGATAAATATGTGTGGGAGTAAGAGTACAAAGCATTGAATATAAATTATTGATGAACATTTTAGAAAGATTGAGAAGAGAGAATCTTAAGCACCTTTCCCTAAAGATCTGTTCCTGTTTAAGTTGTTTAAAAAATTATGACTTATGAAGTTTTGGGTTTTCTGGTCTGATATGCATAGTCCCTCTCAAAGTTGAGCCGATCTTCCATTTATACTGTGATTATGGTCTATATAGTGTTATATCTCATGAATTCTCCCACATTTTATTTAGAAATCTTTATAAGTTTTGCTTCTTTAAGTGTTTTGTACATTTATAATATTTTTGTTATAGATGTTGTTTTGGAGTGCGAATTAACAATCTTGGGTTTTTCTTCTCATATTTTTCAACCTTTAGTATAGGGTTTTATTCCCTTTTAAACCTTTTGTAAACTTCCATAACAAGCCTGCATGGGTGTATGGAGTGTTTTATATGAAGTTATCCTTTCATTGGTGTTAAATATGTGCATTATATCATTTGGGGATGCAATATTATGGATTCTTTATGGCCTGTAATAATACTCTATAATGTAGTTATATAACAGCATCATTATGCAAACAATTGTACTACAGTTACGGATAATCCATCTTCTGTGGAACTCTTGAAAGATCTACCATTCCCCATTACATATTATACACTGATGGCAAAAGAATTGGAAGAGAATGGATATTGTCTCAATCAACCAGGTGAGAAGAATTATTCCGTGTTGATTTGTCGCTTAAAATATTTCTTCATGTTTGAATTTTGTTATTTCGTGATTCTTTGTTTAATTTTGTGCAGGCTTTCTATCTACTACTCCTGCTCCTTTGGGATCTTCTCCCTACGAAATATTGGCGCTTGACTGTGAGATGGTAAGTCCATCAATGTTATTTGGACTTATAAATAATGTTTAATGTTTGATTAGATATTAAAAGAAAATGTTCAAATGTTTATTTCTGTGAATTTGGATCATTGACCTGAACTCCTCACTTCCCTCCTTCCTAGAAAAAGAAAAAAGAAACTACACTTCATGTATCTTTTCAAAGTAGAATAATCATTGCTAGATGTAGTGAGTTTTAACTTCAGATAGATGAACTCTTCAGTAAATGCAGTTTGGTCTCCTAAGGATAATGTATTTTGCTCATCAAGATGTACTTTGTGTTTCAGAGTCTGTTTGGTTATCCCTTGGAAGTTAACTTTTGAATTTGTTTGCTTTTCTACCTTTAGAAGGGCTATTAAGACGTCATTAATATTACTTCAGATTTGAATAATTTGGAGGAATCTATATCAAGCCCATGGTTGCAAATTCTTTTTTATTTGAATCATTTCTTTAGTTTCTAATTGTTTTTTTGTCTGATTATTGATGTTTGGTCCTAAAAAAGCTTTATTGCTTAGCTTATATTTCACTTGTATACTCACTTCATCGAGGTCATCTATTTTTTGTTGTTAACCTTTTCTTCTTCTTCTTCTTCTTCTCCTTTTTTTTGCTTGTTCAGTGTGTCACAAATGAGGGTTTTGAGCTCACAAGAATAACACTAGTGGATATGAAAGGCCAGGTATGCACTTCTTTCTTTTTCACTTATTTTGCCGAAGATAGTCGCATTTAGGTGGTATTTTGTTGATATTAACTTCTCTTTTTGGAATGTAAAGTGTATATTGGAACCTTTATAATTATTTAAATTTTGCTCTACATGTATGTTTTTGCAACTGACTCTGCATGATTTTTCACAGGTTGTTTTAGACAAATTGGTTAAACCTTCAAATGCCATTGTGGATTACAACACCAGGTAAATATTGGTTACATGTATTGTTAGACCAGTAGTGGAATTTTTCTCATTGGATCTTGAAAATAAATTTATGAAATTTTCTTACTTTTCAATGTTGTACATCAATCCAAAAATGTAGCTCAAGGTAAAATGTTAATGATTCCTTATGGTTGGGCTGAAATGTCGGGTTTTTTCAAATTTTGTTGTTTTATATCATTGTTGTCATTATATATAAGTGATATCAATATTCTCTCCTCTTTCTCTTTTCCTGTCAGATAAGTTGTTTTGCTATTTTCTATTAATGAAATAGTTAACAATCATCATTATGGGTTTCACAGGTTTAGTGGAATTACATGCGAGATGTTGAGTGGAGTAACTACAAGTCTTAAAGATATCCAGGTTCATAACTTAGATGTTTCTCTTTCACTTTATGCTCATTGGTTACCCATGGTTGAGTGCTTTAGCTGCTTCGTGGATCAATGACAATGTCATGTTGTAATATTCGTATGTCATTTATTTACAGTTGCTTCCTATATTCAGGAAGAATTTCTAAAGCTGGTTTACAAAGAGACCATTCTAGTTGGGCATTCCTTGGAGAATGACTTATTAGCTTTGAAGATTTCCCATGGTTCGGTGATTGATACTGCAGTACTATACAAACACCCAAGGGGTGGATCTTTTAAAACTGCTCTTAGAGTTCTTGCCAAGAGATTTCTTTCTAGGGAGATACAACAGTCAGGAACTGGACATGACAGTATTGAAGATGCAAGAGCTACTATGGAGCTGGCACTTTTGAAGATCAGAAATGGCAAGTGACTTGTTGAATTTATATTAAAACACATCAGTTGTGGCATGCTGATGTACCATGCCCCCAGATCTCTAAAAATCATATGAACTTATAAAAAACAATTCATATTAGATATTTTCATGGGCTTAACACAGACATGCATGTCAAATATTTGAAACAAATGATAGGTTCCCGCTATAATTAATACTTTTGATAGCAAGCTTGGTGGCAATTTTATGGCCCTTAAACAGTGAGAGACAGAATTTGAATTTAAAGGCACAGATAGAATTTGAAACTTTAAAAAAGTATTGAAATATATCTCTTTGGCTAAGAAGTGTATCATTTGATTCTATGTGTTTCTCAATGCTGGTTCTTGATTTAAATATAATTCTAATTATCACCTATGCATTTGGCCCTTTTTTAGGACCTGATTTTGGTTCTCCTCCATCATTTATGCGGAGAAAGCTTCTTACGGTTTTGAGTGAGTGTGGAAAAACTTCCTCTCTTATTGACGATGTTTCAGTAGTCAAGAGGTATGCTTCTGAGTCATCCCATGCAATGCCGGTGTCTTCTGATGATGAAGCTCTTTTAAAGGCTAGAAAGGAGGTAAATTATATAATTTACTGTATATTTTTATCTTCCCCCTGTTTAGTAACTGCCATATACTTAATAGTTTATTTGCTTAAATTTATCATTTTAGGTGAAGAACGATCGGGTACAATTTGTCTGGACTCAGTTCTCAGAATTATATTCGTATTTCAAGAAACAAGTAGAGGATGAAGCAAATCTGAACGGAAAACTTGCAGAGATGATATCATTGGTTACATGCGATAAGAAGCCTGCTAACACGAAAGACATTAAAAGTGGTGTTTCATCTGAATTGAAGGAAATTCTAACCCGTACGGATGCCAGAGTTCGTAGTCTCTGTGCTGCATTACCCACTAATACTATGCTTATAATTTGCTCTGGACATGGAGACACTGCTATTGTCCAAAGGTACATTTCTCTTGTTCACATACTATGCTATATCTCTTTGTCTGCATCTAACCTTGTGCATATATTTCACAATAAACTTTAAAGGATGACAGCTTAGCTGATAAATATGCATAAGATGAAACTTGATGTCATCTTTTTTGATATGGGGGTCAACTAAAATAGTCACAAGTTTGAATTAGAAGCCCGTCTAATTATTAAGCTTTTCAATGCCACTGAATTCGTTTCATCTTTGTTGTGTGTTCTTTTGTGCATGAATGAAGAGTAAGGAAAATGCTCAGAGAGCAGAGTGAAACGTCATTGTGCCGCGAGAAGATTGTTAAGGTATTGGAAGAGCTTCAGGCTCAAGCTGAAGTTGCATTGTGTTTTGTTGGCGTGAAGCATTGAGTATACATGGATGGCGCTGATACAACTATCAAGCGTTTACAGTTTTGATGTATAACAGTTATTATTTAAATGTATTTTATGAAGTGAAGTATTGTTATTCAATGGAAATTTTATGCAGTTCTATTCGCTTCTGTTGTTTATTCATTTTCTTCCCTCCGGAGAGGGTGCTGGAGCATCTACTACTTTTCTGAGAGATTTGAGTGTAATCCGGATTCCAGCTTCTGAAGCATTAACGATTGAAACCCAGAAAAGGCGATTAGGTGAATAAGAGGATTAACACAAATTTCATGACGAATTTTGATTGAAAGACCTGTTCATGCCTTTGGATTGTTAGTTGAATTAATCTTACATTGGGGACAATAATTATATCTTTTACATGTTGGTGAAGTGGAATTAAGTTGCATGGAGTTTGGCTATAGTGGGATTTGAACTAACAAGTTCTGGTTCAACTTTACTGTATTCACCAAAATAAATAAATAATCATAAAATAACATGGATAGAAGAAGAGATTATTAAAGAAAGATAATTAGGAAACTCTAATCATCCTTAAGATTTTACACTGGATAACATAAAAAGTTAATTATCACACAAAATTATAGTTACAACTAGCAAACAACAAATCGTTTAGCCAAATGCTGCAAAAGTACTTGTAAACCAAAATCTGCTTGTTAGGTCCACGCTGAAGCAACAATCAAGCTTTTGTCTTCCCATCCGAAATGAAGCAGACCCATTTCCTCCTTCATCCTGTACCTGTCACAGTATTCCTTTATCAGTTTCTGAATCATGTCCTTCACATTTGAACTCATTGGGCGTGAAGTGAAGCCGGCCATTGTCATCCTTGCTCTCCATTTCCCTGCAACCTCATACCGCTCTATTCGCTCCTCTCCCTCACATGCAACGATGTTTACTATATCGCGTGCTAGGCATTGTCGTTCAACGTTCATCCTGTCCTGACTCTCCCTTGGGAGAGTTACATCAAGAGACTCAAACACGGCAGAGTAGTAATTGTAGGCTTCCATAAACCTTGGGAAAAAGGGGGCGGTGTTTGTGTTCACATCTTGTTCAACAACAGTTACAAGTTTTGGATTCAGGCTCTTGACCATCCGGAGAAGCTGGTCACGCTGATTTACTGTTGAAACACTCTCATCAGGCATGTGGTGAAGCTGAAATGCGAAGTTTACTACAAGTGCTTCACCAGGCCTATGGTCCAGCATTGATGGAGTCACAAATGAAGTCTTTGAGGGCACTGCATGAAACTTGAATGGTACTCCCAGTGCTTCTGCTAGCTTCTCAAGTCTTAGTCCAATAATTTGAAGGCCCCCAACAGAACGTTGAACTGACTCTGGGTCATCAACCCCAGTTAATCTCAAGAGGGGTCGCTTACCAGGCCGAGAAGCAATAGTTTGTATCAGTGTTATGTATTGGCTACCTTGATTAATGTCAAAATCTATTATATGAACTCTCTTTTCATCTTTAAAGGCCTCAATTATCGCACCATTTGCAGCCATAAATCCAAATTTAAAACAAGGGCACACCTCAAAGAGGATCTGCATGGCTGCAAGCCTGTCAGAAGAAGGGGGCTCTTTGCATTTTAGAGATTTATAGAGAAACTTGCCAGAAGCAGCCATGCGAGCCGCAAGACCTTCCACCATGTAGGCTGCGATTCTCTGAGGAGGATCCCCTTGAATTGAGACCATCTGCCGGAGCTCCTTTATAATGGCTGTTGCTTCCTCAATGTTTCCTTCTGAAAGTGCAGCTGCACAATCTATAAGCAACTGCTTGGGTGTCCGAGGAGTTATTTGTGATACTTCTTTGCTGCTGCAGATGCTGCTAAGGTTAGAATCTGTGGATGAAGACTCTTTCGGTGAGTCACGGAAGGGCACATTCTGGACGGGATCGGACCATTCACCATCAATTTCCATGCTTTGACCAGCAGCAAGCATTTCATTATCATCAAGGAGTGCTCTCTCCAGTTCTTCAAGCTTTAATCTCATCGTATCCTCATCATATTCTATTGGAACTGGGCTTTGACTTTCCAAGTAATCTACTTCAAAATTGGATTGATAGGCGTCATGTCTCATTGACATACAAGAACTGCTCAAAGGTTTTTGAGCGGCCATGGGGAAACTTGAGCCAACTCTTAGCTGGTAAGAAGAGGCACCCTGTGGGTTTAAGGAATTACCTGACACTGCCGAACTTGACGGATGAATGAGTTCTTCTGTTGGGGAGTCAAGGATGTACTTCTCATAACTCTCACTGCTATAAGAATCTGTTGTGTACATCATCTTATGGTTATCAGGGCTGAATGCCGGAGTAGACAAGGCAGAGCTGTCACTGCTCCCCTTCAGCGAATATAACTTTCTACATGATGTGGAAGATGGCTCAGCAGAACTAACTAAAGACATGGTTATCCTTCAACTTGTTCAGCTTTCAATGTTGTACCATAAAACTTTGTCCTGCCACACATACTATCACATAAGTTTTTCTGTACAATCTATTTCAACTGAGGATAGCATCAAATACTTGTAATAGCTTCCTTTTCTGGTTTGTGAAGCAGTAAAAAAACATCCGGGATTAGCTAGTCCATTTGAAATTTCCTTGGATGTTTTAAGGATGCCAACATTCAGCCAGAGTAAACAAAGAAGAAAAACAGTTTTGCCGACCTGAATGGCAGGAACAATACAAAAAACAAATTGACAGGTATCTGTGTGTGTTTTTGTTCAGCGGGGGAGGTTGTAAGACATAGGGAGAGAGTTTCATTTACTAGCGATCAATTATTTGTGAGCTTAAGAATTTGTTCAAGTACTGTCAAAAACCTGGAAACTGCAAGAACTATAAGCATCCGACTATAGAGATTTAAATTCAAAAAGTAAGCTTCAAAAAGAAAACCAGTGATGAATATTAACCGCTTGAAAATAGTATGAACAATTTAAGTCCATGATTAATCATGGATTAATTGATGAGATAAAGCATGTGGAAGCCTCCATTAGAGATTGAACACATCCATTAGAAACCCCATGAATGGTAACAAAAGATCTTCTCAGAAGACACCATAGTACAGCAAAATTCAAACCTTTCTAAGCTTAGAACATAAGAGAAACATTCACTTGCAAGGAGATCGATGCCACTGCCAACCCAAAGATCACATAACATAGTTTCAATACAATTAAGCTCATCATGGAAGAAGAAAAACAAGGAACAAAAAAATCATTTAAACAAAGAAAAAATTAAAGGAACTAAGACTCATACCTGATGCAGAAGAATAAAAGACCACAAAAAGAAACAGCAAAGATCTTTAAGTAGTGAAATCCTGCAATTCAGTAGAACCCCATATGAAGATGAACCTCAGAATTATCTAGAAAGAGAAAAAACACATAGTCTTTGACCTTGTATTAGAGTTATTAAAGACAATCTCATCACAAAGCAAAAGGATTACTTTATGGTATCTTTCCATTAAAAAAAAACCCCTTAGATTGTGAGGTTAGGTATGGTTGAAAAACAACAAACCAAATGCCAAAACATAAAACAAAGGAAGAAAGCAGCCTCAACACAACACAACACAAAACCAAAACCAATTACTTGGACAAACAAATAATAAACAAGTAGATAAAGAAAGAAACCAACCTGACCCAGATAAGAAAAAACCATTTTTATAATATTAAAATAATAGTTAGTTGAGATTACTTGAGCTACCCAATTGCAAGAATCTGAACGGATCAAAATTCCAAAGACTTGATAACAAAGTTACAAAACACAAACCATTATCAAATAGAAAATCTAAACTTCTGGAATCTGATAAAACTTGAGAAACTTACCCAAATAATTATATTTTATTGTGAAATTTTCTCTCAGCTTCTTCAACAAATCAAGTTTGAGTTGAAGTTTCTTTTACTTCTGCGCTCGGTCTGTTTGCATGTTTATAATTATACCAACTTGTCTGACTAGAGTTTGTTTGACAGAAAAATGTCATGATATGGTGTGAATATGATCCAGGTGTAATTTTTTATGGGTGTAATCATTTTATCACCCCTCACTACCATTGATTTTGTTGACCAATTTACTTTTACGTGGACGCTCCCACGGTTTAGTGAGAGAAAAAGGAGTGAACGACAGATGGAGGGTGGTGATTGAAAGTGGTGTTAAAGTTGTAATGGTGGTGAGTGACGTCGGATGAACGTAAGGGGAAGAGAAGGGAGGTGTTATCATTTGTGGGTGTGGAAATGGAACAATGTTTGAGAAAGTCAAAGGGTATTGTTTTGTAGGTCCATTTTTCTGTTAAAGGATATATTAGGGTGTTATTATTTCTATTTTCTCTCTTTTGCGTGTTCTCTCATTTTCCAAAAGCGTGTATGCTTGCAAAGACGAATGTACCCCTAATATATCCATAGTGGAGAAGTTCTACTCTTACTAGGGGTGTGCAAAAAATTTTGGAAATTGGAGCGAACCGGAAAATCAAACTGAAACCAAACTAGAAATCTGATCGGTTTTGGTTCGGAATATTTCATAAACCAGATTTTCAGTTCGGTTTCGGTTTAGCCAATTATATAAACTGGTTAACTAAAACCAGATTTGTGCACCGTTTTTTTTTAAACCTAAATTGATTTGTGGTTATTTTATTTGACCCTAACTCTCTCAATTTCACATCTGCGCCTTTGCCTCTCTTTGACTTTTTCTTCGTTTTCATCGGCCATCTACAACTCTACCGTGCTTTCTTCCTTTTGCTTTCTTAGTCTCTGTCATCAACCGCTGGCCATCTGAGACTTTCAATTAATTAATCAAGCATGCCAAGAAATGCCAAACTGAAGTGCCAAACCGGTTCGGTTTAAGAAAGTGGTGAATCGGTCCAGTTAATTGGTTTTCGCCACCCCTAACTCCTACATATGATCTAATGATTAAAAAAGAAAAAAATGAGAGAGATATGAAGATGGGGTGAGAGAGTCCATGATGAGAGAAGGGAATTGGGAAATGAAAAAGCAGTCAACAAAATGTTAAGAGTAAAAACAGTGTTTTGTCGACCATACTCAATTGCGTTGATAAAATGGTAATGGGAAATGAATCAAATCTGTCATTAATCATTTCATAATAAGATTAGATAAGAATTAGGGTTTGAAATTTGTTGCAAGATCAACACATAAATAAACTTCCATTTATAAATAAGCATTACCCAATTTCTTATTATTATGTCTTAATCATTCTTTGCCTTATCTTATCCAAAGCAAGAGTGCTTTCTTGGACTATTACATCACCTATTTATACAAATATAATAACCCTTTAGTTGTTTAATTTCATCTCATCTGCCTATTATTTATTTAATTAATCATTAGGGAGGGTTTCCTTATATAATCTAATTTTTTTTGAAATATTTAATTGGGTATTAAAAATATTCCAAGAATTTAAATTAATTTGAGCAAATAGAGAAAAATTTCAAGGATAATATAATAAAAATGATTGAAGTCAATTCATCAAATACTCTACGAGACACTTTACAATCTAGTATTGGTAATACTGGAGAATACCAAAAACAAATAATAAAAAAAGGTAGAATAACTCCCCATTTGGATTGTTGTGATTGTAGTATTTGGTCAATTCTTGGTGTTTGCAAATGGATTTCACCTAACAATTGCAAGAAAAGTAGGCTTTATAAATATAATAATAATAATTATAAGATTGTTCTTGTATTAAAGATACGATGATGCTTGAATCAACAGAATTAGTACAAATTTGACTTGGGCGTGTACCTAAAACACCTTGTATTGCTTTGTTGAAAGTTAGGGCAAAGTAAATCATAAATAATTGGAATGTCATAATTTGTTGATGAATTAATTGCTTCGATTTCAAACCCATATGCTCTAAAACTGTTTAATTTAATACACCTATAAGATTTCAAGAATGTTTAACATGATATTTATTTTATAAGTTTTGCATGAAAAGGAGAGAGAGTTTTGATTTGAATGATGAATCATACACGTATCCAAGCACATTTATTAGAAGAAATCTAAGAGTTAGGACATACATTTCAGAGAATTGGAAGAATCATAGGGTCCGTTTGGTTTATTATTCTGATATTTTTTAGAATAATATTTTGAAAAAAGTAAAATTAGGTGGATATTACGATGTATGATTTGAAAATGAACGTAAATATCCCCTTATGTTTGTTTATTTACTAAACACTCGTATAATAAAATATTAAAAATTAACAAAAACACCTCCAACCCACCTATTAAATACGGATAGCCGGCTACCACCGTTGGAAGGTGGCCGGAGTCGCCGTATCGGAGCACGACTGGCTGGATCTAGCCAGTTGTGCGTCGATATGGCCTTTTTCGCCATTAACGACCAGATCTGATTGCATTTGGTTGTCAACGACGGTCAAAGATATGGCCGTTGTTGATGGTCAACGACGACCATATCTTGGCCATTCGTTGACGATTGGCTATGGGCCAAATATCTGGTCGTCAGATCTTTGACTGTAGATCTGGCATTTTCTAGCCAGATCCACCGTGGATCTGGCCGAAAAAGGCTAGATCGACGCACTATCGGCCAAATTCAGCCGGTAGTGCGCTATTATACCAGATTTCGGTCAGCTTCTGGCAGTGGTGGCCAGAATCTAGTAAATGTGGGTTATTGGGGTGTTTTTGTCAATTTTAAAAACTTTTTTTTGGGGGTGTTTAGTTAAATTAACAAATTTAGGGGTTTTAAAATAAATTGAATAATATAAAATAATATTTTGAGAATAAGAGAATAATTGTGTATTTTGGATGGAATAGGGAATAAAATACTAAAAAATTCTCTACCAAACGAAGCTTATATCCTCTTACTATTATTTTATTATATGATAAAAAAACATTGTAATTTTTTTTTTCTGTGGGTGAAATAAAAATTAAATAATCCTTTCGTCAATTTTAACCCATTTCTGCACTTGGGTTGTGGATGACATTTTCAACTTGCGTATAAAACAATGGGCCGAATAGTGAACTGGGCCTTGATAAGGGAATATGAGCTTTTCTGAAGTTGGATGATGGGCTATCTGGTTATTGATAGAAAGGATAAAATGTTGGTTTCGTTAATTAACAATAATTAAAGTCTCATCATTCAAATCAGTTTTGAGACATATTATGACCCTTCTCATATTCAATTTCTCAAAAGTTGACAGCCATATGTCTCTTTTTTCCTGATAATCAACAATAAAATCTGGTAAATAATCATTAAACACAGAAACTCAACTTTATAGCTAAGCTAAGTACAAACAACAGTATCTATATATATACATGTTTTGACAAGGGGTAGGCAACAAAATTAGACCTGGCAAAGTGTTGCCTGTACCCGTGGGTCCACGAGTACCTAGTCCAAATGGGCAGGTATGGATAGAGGTGAAATCGAGTCGAGTATTTGATAAATCAAATTCGACTCGATCGCTACAAAATCGAGTTCGAGTTCGAGTTCGAGTTCAAGTTCGAGCTTGGGAAATAAAGTTCGAACCCGAACTTGGTTGTTGAAATTGTAAATCGAGTTCGTGTAATCGAGTTTTAATTGAGTTCGAGTTCAAACTTGATTTCGAGCTGATCTAACAAGAGTGGATTTGCAAATTTTATAACTTTAAAATTACATATGACCACTATTACTTTAAAAACTATCAACTTAACCATCGAGCTTGGAAATACTCGCAAACATATCAAGTCGAGTTCTAATATGGTCAAACTTGACTCAACTAATACCGAGTCGAGTTCGAGTAGCTCGCGAGCAACTCGACTAGATTTTCACCCCTAGGTATGGGTAACAACATAAATTACCTGCAAGAAGTTTACCCATACCCGGCTCGCCTGTGAAAAAAGGGGGTGGGTCGGGTAATGCTCGTGGGTACCAGTATTTAAATTAAAAAAAAAAAAACTTAAACCAAAATTTGCAAAAACAAAACCCTAAGCCTAAAGTGAACAGTGTCAGCTACTAAAAAAATTTGACTAAAACTGAAACTCTCTCAAACTCACATTGATGCATCACAACAGCTTTCAAATTGAAACTCTTTCACTCTCACGTGTCACGCCGTCTAACGTCGAACAACAACTCTCAATCTTTCTCACTCTGACGGACGACGGTCACTAACTTACTCAGTCACACCGTCTCACGCAACAACTTTGAATTTGACAATCTCTCTCACTCTCATCATTTCACGCCATCGCCGTCTTAGACAGCTCAATGTCTCAATCTCTATCGCTCTCATGTTGTAGCCGTCTAAAACAGTTTAATCTCTCAATCTCTGTCACTTAGACGTCATCGCCGTCTCACTCTTGGTCAATGACTCACTCTCACGGTCTCCGTCGTCAAGCCAGTTGACTCACTGTATTACTACAACCCAGTAGCTCTCAATCTCTCTCACTCTCACAGTCAACGTATTGCAACCCAACAAGGCATCTCTCAATCTCTCTCACAGTCAATGTATTGCAACCCAACAAGGCATCTCTCAATCTCTCTCACAGTCAACGTATTGCAACCCAACAACGTAATGCTCAAAACCGATTTTAGCCAATTCCGGCGGTGAAAATTCTTTCTGTCACCAGCATTTGAACCTTTGGTCTCTTTTATACAAAACCTCTCTCACTTCGGCACCTAATTTCTCGTCGATTGCTAGCCACCACAAATCTATGGTTGCTTGTTCTTAACTGATTTTCGACTGGTTCGAAAGACGAATTTTTAATCGGTCACCACTATTCAATCCACTATCCTCCACACTACAAAACCCGTCTTACCCTAGCTCTTGGTAACTAGCCAAACACCGGTTGAGAAAATGAAATATATTTTGGGTATTAACGGAAAATAAACTTTGGGTGGGAAAATGGTATTTTGAAACTTTTTGGGTGGAAAATGGTCATTAAGGCAAACCTTGGGTGGGAAAAGGTAGTTCACTCTTTAATTAAACTAAATTATAAAATAATTCGGGTGAGGAAGTGTTAGGTAG